GTTTCTACACTTTGCTTTCTTTGTTTAACATATTGTACAAGAAATTATTTTTCTTTATTAATGCTAATACCAAGATTTTGAGATCAGAGTAATAATAGAAAAAAATACCATCTTATCCTGTCAATTTAGCAATTTCGGTCCCGTTCTTCCTTTACATGACTATTAAACATCAGAAAATGTTAGCTTTGCACAGCTGCTGCCTGAACAATTGGTTTGAACTAACTACTGAAATGAGAAATGAGTATGACTGAGCATTTAAAATCACTAACTTCTAAAATTCTTCCCCTTACCAGGTCATGGCTGTTGCAGGTCTGGATTCCAGCAAAGCTCATAAACATTCACCAAGTCGTTCAACGCGTTCCTGGGCTACCCCACCTGCAACCCCTCCCCACAGGGACCGCACTCCCTATTACACACCTCTAATCCAAGTTGATAGGGCTGAATCTACAGAGCATATGAACGGTAGCCTGCCTTCCTTGCATAGGAGCTCTTGGTACACAGATGACCCTGATATTTCCTACCGAACATTCACACCAGCCAATTTAACAGTACCTAATGACTTTAGGTATAAACATAGTGACAAACAGAGGAGTGCCGACAGTTTGGTAGAAGCGGTAAGTATTACAGAAACCTCTGAAGTAGCCAAGAGTGTCTGTTCAGGTTTTGTGTTAACTTTAAAAAGCATGTAATTCGGTTCACATTATCTCTCTGACAATTTGGTATTTTCAGTTTCAAAGCCCAAAACTGTTTTTAGGTAAAGACAAGGGAACTTATTGGTAGTGGTTATGTAGCAAATGATTTCTACTGAATCCAAATCTTAACATTAGTGTGTCAGAGAACAGAAGAGATCTCAGAGATGTGAAATTTAAGTTTTCTAGATGAGGATCGGCTACAAAGTGTCCTTCCACAGTGGCTAATAGGGAAGAGATGATGCATATGCCTGTTCTCTCTCTTGTTCCTATAGAAATACATCACCATTTTTGCAGTAATCTGAATAAAAGATCAAGAACTCCCTGAATCAAGTGTACTAAATGCAGTGAATAACAACTACAAGGACTGATTTGTAGGTGTACTAAAGAATGTTAAGAATTCCCTTTTATATTAAAAAAGATTCGAAGATAAAAAGTATATAGCTCTTCTGAATCATAGTTACTGTTCTTGCTTCCCTTTATCACTTCCTTTCTGTCGCAATGAGCTACACAATGCACTTTGTTAAATTTTATTTGCAAATGGGACTTCAGCATCTTTCTTCCACGTACTCTAAAGTACCAAGAACGTATCTAAAATTCTGTGTTTCAGGCAATTGTTGTAATTGCACCATCCTAGATATATTAGCTGTTGTCTTCAGTATATCAGCCTGATGACCGATGTTTATCAGACTACTCCCAAATTTCTAAAGAGAGAAGTCAGATGCATTGCATTATCAGTTACATGGTCACCTAACTGAGACAGTGTGGTTTGGAGCCGTTTGATTGTTCTTTACGCACACAGCTTTACTGGGGGTTGCTATAGTCATTCAGCGTGGAGTTTCTAGTATTTTCCACAAATGAGAAACATTATGACCTGTCTGTTCTGTAATTCCACTGTGTATCTCATTCTCTCCCCTCCATCTGCCAGGTACTTATATCTGAAGGCCTAGGAAGGTATGCGAAGGACCCTAAATTTGTTTCAGCTACAAAACACGAAATTGCTGATGCATGTGACATGACTATTGATGAGATGGAAAGTGCAGCAAGTAACCTTCTCAATGGAAGTATCAGCAATGGGACCAATGGGGATATGTTTCCCATTTTAAGCAGACAAGATTATGAACTTCAAGATTTTGGTCCTGGCTACAGTGATGAAGAACCAGAAACGGGACGATATGAAGAAGACTTAGCTGACGAAATGATATGCATTACAAGCTTATAGTATTTAGCAAGGAAAATTATTCTAATAACAGAAAAAGTGCCTCATAGTTTAAAGATGCTAGGCACTAGCTGGAGTGAATAACCAATCAAGTTTTGTAAAGTGATGTCACACCTCAAGGAAGCCATAACTAATAAATTTATTATCTCCAGGTTGCCGAAATGCGGCCAGAGCCGCAGTACATCAAGTCTCCCCCCACAGAATCTTCAGTTCCTCTGTGGGAGTAAGGTTATTTTGAAACCAAGCAGATTGTGACAATCAGTTTTTTGAGGGCTAGAGCAGGATTCTGAGGTGTAATATCTTGCCTGTCTTTCAACCTTGTGCTGCTGTCCTTCATAGTAGAGCAGGATTTTGTCACTGAAAATGTCTGTATAAGTCAGCACAAAATTGTGTGGGAAATAGCAACATGAGACAAGTGATGACAACCAATAATGTCATTACCTCAGTACTCAATAGCATATCAGCCAGCTGTTGCATATCCATTCTAACATTGTTTTCAAACTTGCTTCCTGAATTCTTAATGCTCTTCTAAAGTACAGTTTGTCATGCTCTACTTGTTAGAGATGGTTGGGAAAAGAAGTTATATAAAGAATATTCTGTCATATGTAACACCAGTTTACATAGGAAAATATCATTCTGATAGTCTGTTTTATGACTATCACGTTAAGGGCAAAATATACTGGAATAATTGCATTCTTACTAATGCACTTGCAACCAGGTTATAGTAGAATTAGATAAGATAGTTTGCTAAAAATTATATAGTAGAAATTATTGTAAATGAATTGTAATATACAATGATTTGTATTTGTAAAGAGATGTTCTATATTTTGTAATTATTGTACCGTAATTGAACTGCAGCAATATTTATGGACCCTAATTATTGTAACTCTCCACAGAATTCTAGATAGAAGTATTTTTACTTGGAATATATAGATCTATAGCATAAATATTTAAATAGAGCCACCTCAGTGTAAATCTCTTTTTGGGATAAAGTGTCAAGTTTGACTTGGCAACAGAACAGGTTTTTTTTTTAAATAATTGAGTCAAATCTCTCTGCATAAGGGATGCACAGTTGACTAGTTACAGTCTTATACTTGGAAAGGTAGAAGACTTAAAGTTATTTTAACTTTTTTGATGAAAAAATAAGCTCTAATTTTATTTTTGTATTAATCCCATGCAAAAAATAAATATTAAAATCATTAAAAATTGGCAAGGTCATGCCAGGATATTACTGGTCATGAGACAATTAGTTTTGAGAGAGTGTATTACCTATATACCCTACTTTGATAGGAAGCATCTTGGGCAGAAAATATTTCACAGATAAATGAAATCAGTACCACTTACTCTGCTTGGAAAGAAAGGAAATATGATAAATGATTCTTCACAGAACCAAAACCCTTGATATAAGAAGTATGCTGTTTTATTGCCTCTACCTTTCTGTTGTTCTACGTGTACTATTTCAAAGATTTATTTTTATGCAACCAAGAGAGGGCTTAGATATTGTTCACAATGCAGTGAAACCCTGAAATGACTTTGAGGCTCAAATGACCTTGGAGGAAAATCAAAAACCACTGAAAGCTACCGTCTATTTTGTTAGCACTGGATAACAGCAACTTGTCTACCAAGTTATCTTATCAGGTTTTACCTGTAGTTCATATGCTAGATAGCAATCCAGTTCACATTTTTACAAATGTGATGTTTAAAACATGTCAATAAACATTTTGTACATAAAGACAGTTTCCTATGAATAGCTTACAGACTTCCTCTGAAATCATTCTTATTTCAAATGCCAGGATAAGAACTTAAAGGTTTGTAAATTATTTCTTGACCTACATCATTTTGTATTAAAACAAATGCAAAATGTTCTTCAAAATAAAACTGTGTAATAATTTTATTATACTTGGGACTCCTTTTACTAATAGTTTTTCACCAAGAAGGTCCAAAAGGTAAATTCTGCTTGCACTGTTTGAAGAATGGGCGGGAATGTGTGGAATGTAGTCATTGGTCTGTGCTATCATAGCGTGCACGTCTTTTATGGATGATTGCTGTTAACCAGAAAGAAGTAAGTGATTAGAGTATTCATATGAAAAAGGATATTTTTCCTCCCCTACTATCTAGGGGATTATTACTTCCCTGGGTACAGATCTATGGAAACAATTAGGAAAATCGGACTAAAATCCCCTAAAACATCAAAACACATCTTTCATGCTGTCTGCCAGGAAACAGTGGGGTAGGTTACCCAGCAGTAGCCACTTTGTGTTACACTTTCTGCTTATAGAAACTTTAGGTGACTGATATGGAGCTTTCTGGATCTGTATCACTGTGAAATAACGAGTAGTCTTCAAAGTTCCACCTACTGCGGTATGCCCACTTCTGAAAACCGCCCTTAAGGTAACTGAAGTTGAACATTTAACACAAAAAAAAAATCCCAGACCAGGTTACTTAACTGCATCGACTTTTGCTAGCACAGCAAATTTGGCAGATTGAGCTGAATGACAATTTTTTTAATTAATCATTTGTCCAAGGAGACAGAAAACAATATGCTGACTTTACTGTATTCTCTTGCTAGTATGGTTAGTCCTGAGCTTTCAATAGTCTGATGAGAGACTCTTTAGGGCAGATACACTATTTTATGAGAAAACAGTCCTTACAAAAATAAATAATGAAGGAAATTTAGTTACAAACCATGTTCTATATAGTTAATGGTTTAAGGGAGAACATGTATATATGGATATACAGAGTATCTGTTCAATATCATTACAGAAGTATATGGAAAAAAGTAATTGATATATGCACAATTACATGGAAACTGGCACCCATCAAATGCTGCCAATCACAGTAATTACTCAGTACCGAAAAACTGGAAGTTATCTCAGCAATTAAAACATATATCATGGGTTTCCAGATTTGTTTATATACATATGACAGGAAACATTACTAAAGAATTAAACATTGCTATGTCTTACAGTGAAGTAACTCCATTGAAGAAGCGAATATATAAAATATATTCATATTTGAACAGTGTCATTTTTTGGAGCTTGGATGACAAAAGAGTAGAGACTAAAATTATAATACTGTAACAGATATGCTTGGGGTCTTTCTACAATAACTCTTCATTTTAACTATGATTTTTAAAAAATGCATAAATGCTATTATTCCTCAAAATACATTTCTATGTTTATTTTATAGAAAATGCATGTTCCAAGCCCACTTTCCAGTTTTCCAGCATTTATACACCTGCCTCATTTGGTTGCAGACTAATTGCAATCAGACTCTTGGAAAGGACTTTAAGCTGCAGAAACATCAAAAGTTCTGGTGTACAAAACCTTGAGTGGCCTTACATAAGTTAAATACAATACAGTTTCACAAATACTGCTGCTTTTAAAAGCATTTCTAATACTAAACTTGAACTGCAATATGTGTATGAAAGAAACATTTTTTCTTTCTTAATCTCATTGTCCCCAGCCAGAGACCTCCAACTGTGTTTGAAGCATCTGCAGCAAGCGATTACCATGGAAATGCTGGTGTGCTCACTCGCAGTACCGCTGCTGGTTCAAGCCATGTGGGCAGGTCTAGTAAATTCCAAATTCTTACATCAAACAGCTTTTATGGTTAACTGGCTTTGAATACATAATGTAGTACATCTGCACATTTACAGAGAAATTATATGTGGGTAGAACTGGGAAGAATATTCAATTCACACACCATATTATTTTGTTAAATAAGTAAAACTCTGGAATTACCAGTCTGTGTTCTGCAATCCAGTAAGGTGTAAAAGATGGTTAAGTTTAGCCAGCAGACTGCCAGTGCTCCACAGGGCATGTCAGAATATCTTGTACCAGTTCTAAGTATCCCTTAGCAGACTCAGCTCTGCTAGAAGTAAGAACAATTTTAACAGCAATTCAGTGTCAGCAACCAGACACGATGCAGGAGAAACTAATGGCAGCTTGATGCTACCTAAAGCTTTCCCCAGGGCAATAAAACTTTCAAATACCTGAGCCATTTCTTTAGCATGAAGGAGCCTCAGCGTTCTATAGCACTGAGGCCTAAATTAATAAAGCAACTGCAGTTCACAGCAATGAAAATGTTGAAGTGTTTAGAAGGGGAGGAATCTGCAAGGTGTCTGTGTATGTTTAGAACTGCAAGAATAGATGATGATGTTTCAGAAGAAATGCCCAGGTACCTGATTGCACAGTGCAGCCATGTGTACCTGAACATGACACACATGCAGTTTGGCACGTATATCTAACCTTGCTATTCCCTCATCTTTTTAGAGCTTGGCCCAATGGCAGAGGATAGCCCTGTGCATGTTCAGTAGCAAGTTATGTAAGACAGTGGCTAGTTAATCTGCTGCAGTTGCATAGTAACAATTCCCATCCTGCATGCCTAGAGCGGAAACCCACGTTGTAAATCTGCAAATGCAGGAACTTCAGTTTTCTGTCCTTCCAAACTGCTTCCCCACTCAACTGCAGCGGACTGTGGTAAGTGTCGCCAGTGTATATTACTCTGAGTATCCTAATAGTTTGTATTGCAAATGACACAAAGATACCTACTGAATACCTCTGAATGAAAATCTCAAAAGCTGCAGTGCTGAATAAAAATTATTTGCTATAAAAAGGTACACCTGACACAGTTCATGCTTCCCTTTCAATGCAGAATTGCATCAGGTGAATTGTCTTATTACACAGCTAACCAATCACCTATGGCTTAAAATATTCTTGCTCTTACCCTCATTCCAAAAGAATGCATCACACACAGAGAAAGGGTTTACCTGTCTCCTTCAGGTGCAGAGTTCACTACTACCATCTTCCATCTTCAGTATTTTTGTTTGTCTTTACGCAGATACTCTGATGAATTAAGTCCTTTCCCTCAGCAGCAGGGCTTCCAACCACTGCCTTCCAGCAAGCAGCACCAGGTAGAAGTATTTGCCTTAAACATCTGCAGTTGTCCCTCTAGCCAACATCTGAGTCAGCAAGTTTTTTTACAATCTGCTCAAATGATGTAAAATTCTATTTTTTCTGCAAAAAAAGTTTATTCTGTTTACCACAAGCCCTGAGCAATCTTAGACTACAGAAGCTTTTACTTCATAATTTAACAGCTGCTTAGTCAGAAGTTATTTTGGAATACTTAATAAATCCAAACAATTCAATGGATTCATTTCATTCAATGAATTCACTTTCTTTAGGCTTGTTTTTTTTTTTAAAAAAAAATCAGTACCCGAAAGTTAGATTGACACAGAAAACAGCCATGAAAGATCATGTATCTTGCTTTACACATCTGAAGACAGGAAAACAAAGATGTAAGTCCTAACTAAATATAGCATTGGTTCACTGAATAAGTCACTTGCCTTCTAATTTTAAGGTTTTTTTCCCATATAATTAATATCTGACCTTAGGCCATTATGGTGAGTAACTTTTCATTTTAAGTCTATCTCGGCTGTAAATTTTTTAATAAAATTTGAGTGATGTAAGGCACCATTCAGAATATCTGCTGAGAAATATCTTTTGCAAATGCTTATCTTTGAGCAAAGACCAGTAACTTTAGAGACCTTATAGGAAGTGCAGATCTCTTACTGTGCTAAATAATAAGTGGTACAACTAAATCAGCTTAAACTGTGAACTGAATTCTACTAAGCTCCTTGCCAAAAAAAGCAAGGAGAAATTTTAGTTTTCCAGTATATTTTTGTAACTATCAGCTCCTGCTCTGCATTTCTTAGAAAAATAAGTTTCTGATAAATACAATAAATGTCGTCTTTCTGAATACTATACAGTTAAGACTGCTAAGCGTGGTGACGTATGACTTTCAGTGAGGATTTGTAAACTGTGCAGTCCTCATAAAAAACCCACTTTTGACCAATTCCGAACACGTGCAGGTTCCTCTCTGTCCTATGAATTCTGATACAAATTACTCTGGCCTGTGAATATGAAATTGCATAAATGCTTACATTTATTAACCATTCTTTGCAGGATGTGGGGATTATTGACTAGCGGTTATCCTGGGTAACACTCTCCCGGCAGTTAAAATCCTTCCTTTAAATAACAAGGCATGTAAGTAATGATTTCCAAAATAGCATACAGTAATCTCTTCCATTCCTCATGCAATTGTACAGTATTTCTGGCTTATGTGCACAACTGCCTCGTCATTTAGCAATAGCTTCTCTTCAACAAAAAATCTGAATTGTACCACAAAAGGTCATGTTTAACTGAAATAAGCAGCTTAGGCCAACTCATTAAAAAAACAATGAGTAGACAGTCTAATATAAGAGAATGGTTCAAATCAATAGTTATTTTAATAGGATATGTTGTTTTGCATGGTATTTATTTTGTTGGCATGTTCAGTGTGATACCAACATGCTGATGAAAGCCTCAGCAGCAAAAGATGTGAAACGATGAGAACATTTGTTTATCTCTGTGTTTCCAAGGTCTTGGGCTTATATACAGGAACATTTTTCTCCTGAAGTGATGGGAGGCCCTTAATTATATCTGCAACTTTCTCTGCTATCATAATAGTTGGGGCATTCAAATTTCCACTGACAACACTGGGCATTATTGAAGCATCTACTACTCTCAAGTTTTCCACACCAATTACTTTTGTTTGGGGATCAACTACAGCAGTGCTATCTGAAAGCTGACCCATTTTACAGGTGCAGGAAGGATGATAAGCACTATCAGCCTTCTGCCTTATGAAAGCATCTATTTCTTTGTCAGACTGAATATGGTTTCCTGGTTGAATTTCAGGCCCACGAAATTTTTCAAAAGCTTTCTGAGCAAAGATCTCTCTGGTCAACTTGACACACTGGCGGAATTCCCAAATATCTCTTTCTGTATGGAGAGAAAATAAGAAAACTGTAAGTATACTCTTAATTGAGTTATAGAGACAGAATGCGTAACAGAAAAAAA